AAGTGCAAGCGACAACGACAACCAATCAATGCAGAGAGCTGAGGATCACATGCCGCAGTGGAGGTGAGGAGAAGGCGCAGTATGAACAAACTGGAGATGGTGGATGTGGTCCAGGACATCACATCATATTTGGTGAGGACAAAAATATCCACACCAAATATTGGTAATATTGGAAACCCCTTTGTGTGAGTGTGTGCGAGTGCATGTTTCTACGTTTATGAGGCCTGGCAGACCAATGGTGAGAGGATAATTGCAGCCACTTTGCTGAGAGCCGGAGCCCCTCCCTCTCACTACCCGCTTTGATGAGGTCACACAAACAGTGACCCGTGTTCCGCCCCTGCCCCGCCCCCTCATCTGTCACCTGCCAGCTCCAGTTCATTAAACACACTTCCTACGTATGCCTCATCAGGAGGTCTGCAAATATCTGTTTTGGTCCGTAACTTTTGATGAGTCAGACAGTCATATCTTTTTAATGGGCCACACTTTACCACAACATTCATTTAAATTAAATTTATTTTTGTAAAGTCCTTGATCACAACAGTAGTTGAGGGACTTAACAAAATTATCAATTCTGCAACAACAGAGAATCAAACTGAAGCTGTGCAGGGCAGGACCTGGTTAGTACAGTACTGTGATGGGAGACCTCTGGGAACACCTGGTGTCACAGTGGGGTGGCTGCGGCTGTATAGTGCCAAACCGTCGTTGTGTCCTTAGGCAAGACACTTCACCCACATTTCCTAGAACAAATATGGTGTGTGTGTGAATGTTTGGTGGTCGTTGGAGGGCATAATGGCACATACTAGGTGCCTCGCTTCTGTCAGTGGCTACAGCAATAGTTTAGAGTGAATGAATATGACATGTGCAGCGTCTTTGAATGTCCTGAAAAGTGCTATATAAAACTGATTTATTATTATTAACTGTTGGTTTGGGCTCTCTTCTTTACAAATGTGTCCTCGTAAAAAAATAAGTTGAAAAGTGTCTTTATTGCTTCTTGTGAATGATAAACTTGTGTAGTCCATAATGACGTGATTCCCTCTGGTCCTGGGCACTTATACCGTGACTTTACCAGATTTATTTTTTGAGTGGGAAGGTTTTTTTCCCCAATCGTTTGACATGTTTCCAATTTCCTTGTGTTGAAAAGTCGTCATGGGTCAAATCAAATTGCTGTGTGTTCACATGTTGTGTCCTGTGTTTTTTATGAGTTCATAAAAATGCTTATTACCACATACAAGTTGCATTACAATCAGTAATTTAATTGAAAACTTGAGCTCATTGATTCAGCTTGTGTATGAATTCAGGCCCTAAAAAGTGCTGAGTAGAGACTCCACTCACAGAACGAGGCCAGAACAGAAGATTTTTTTCAACACCAATTTTTTTTTTTTTTTAAAGACAAAACTGAAAATCCTGAAGAGAAACCATGCACCTGGATCAACATATGGACAATCTGCACAACCCCTGATTCCAATCAGGCTGTAAGCTGCTGAGAAATGGACAATACCATCGTCTTCTTTTGCATGGACATAATTTGGAACAATTTGGAATATTTGGATTACACAATTTGGACATAATTTGGACTGAATTGAATTGCTGAATCTGGACACTAAAGCTGAAACGTGTGATTGAAAGACACGTCACAGAAGAATTCATGGCTCGACACAACAAATGCCGCCTGAAGAAAACAACACAGAAAGTGGGAGAGACTGTTTTCAAAGCAATATCTGGAACCACCATCGTCTGATAAAGTTTGGTATTTTACTGAAGATTGTTGACGAGTTTATGCGTTTTCTGAGTTTTTTGAAGTACAGAGTTTATGAGATTTTGAAGTATTGAGTTGTGATGTTATGTTGCTATTTATCGATCCTGACGGTCACACGTGAATGTATGACCAGAGGGGGGGATTTATAGATTTCCTGACACTTTGAAGCAACTGTGGTTGAAGTTCTAACTCATCATTCTAACAATATGCACAAGGCAGTACTTTTCCACTGCATGTTTCGGTTTTCTGAAGGCCAAGCTACTGGCATCGCGGCGAAAGCTGATTGGACGGTGTTCATTCCTCCGCTGTATATTATCACTTGCAGTCTGTAACATCTTTGTTCGTGCTGTCTCTACCAACGACAATAAAACATGTCTTCTGTCTGAATTAAAGACACGATCCCAGACTTTGTCATCTTCTTCAGCTCCTTTGAGTACTGGGTGTGCAGTATGAAAACGCCTGGGGACAGAAGATGACATCGCCGAGCTTCAATGAAACGGGACTAAATGATAGATCGTGATGATGTAATCGTATTGACGTTTAATCATATAGACTTGCAATCTAGGGATGGCGAGATTCACAGATTTGAATCGGTGGTTCGAGTCAAGCACGTGCGATTCGACTGCACCGGCACATTACAGCATTGATACACAAAAGGGACAGATTTGGGATGCATCGGCCCTTGTCTCTCTGTATCGGTTAGATTCTTGCGTTTGATTAGTCTTAGATCACTTATGTGCACCTGCTCAGCCCAGTGTTTTTTCACTGAATGTCTGTGCTGAGATCTAATTGGCCCTGGCTTTGTCGTGTTTACGGGGCGAGCAGTGAAGGAAATTTTCTCTCACTGTCAGTAGCAGCAGCATAGACTAGCGGGAGTGCCCAGCCCTCTGATCACGGGCGCACGATTTCGCAAGGACCACGACAGGCGCCCGCGAAGCATGATCTATAAATAGTATTGGTCCCGGAGCCTGGACCCAGTCTTTTACCTCCACCCCTCCGCTCAGCGTTTGGCGTTTGCAAAAGAGCAGAGACATGCGATCTATGCAGCTCTGTTTTGACCTATAAAACTTCCAAAAAGAATCCATATTCAGAGAGATATGAACCATTTATTACATGACTTGGATTGTAGGCACGCTCTGATTGGCTGATTTGCGGTCTGATATTTTCCCATCTCGGACCGTTACCATGACAATTGGTCCGCAGCGCGTATCAGATTTGATATCTTTCCTCGGTAAAAAATAAATAATGAGCGACGACTGGGAGCATTCTCAGTGAATTCTATTATCCGGACGAGTTCGAAGAGCCAGAGGAAGTAATAACAGCAAATAACGACGAAAATTCCTAACAATCAAGACGAGATTGACAACTTCGTTACAGACCAGAAAGGAAAAAACACGATTAGGAAAACCAAGTCGGACAAGAACCTACTTCACAAATATCTAAAAAGCATTGGTAAAGACACAGAAGAGGAGAACTTACCAGCCGGCGACCTCAATCATCTGATAAGCAAATTCATGTCACTGTTTGGTTGCATGTGTTTTTGCTAGTTGAAACCGATCAATATTTGCACAAATTAAAAAGTCATATAATAAAACATTTATTAACCTCGCTTGCTCGGTCTGTACAGAGAAATATCAGACCTTGGTATTTTTGCACAGACCTCGATCGGTACAAAAAGGCCCCGGTCTGATATTTCTCTGTACAGACCTCGCGCTCGTTTGAGCCGTAAATCTGAACCAGGACTGAGCCAGGACTGAGCCAGGACTAAGTCAGCAGAGCCTGGACAGAACTAAGAAGGCTTTTGACCTGACGTAACTCATCTTTTAGGTCCAAATGTAAATGGTTGTGAACAAATCAGACAACGGCACCTTTACTTTATCAAAACACTGGCAGAGTCTGACAAAGCTGATCTTAGAATGAGGCCAAAAATACTGTACTGTACATGAAGAAAGTGACAGAACTACACTGTTTTAGAGCCTGGAACTATAGTGACATGAATTATAATACTAATCAAAACTAATCAAACCAAACCCTTTTGTAATGCATATATTTTATTGTGATGAAATTGTATAAACGCATCGTATCAAGGATAGGAGTAAATCGTATCTTACCGCTGACATTTTATCTTATTGTCTTGACAGGGGGCCTCAGTGTATCGTTACTGTATCGAATCGGTGATCAAGTTTTGAGATATGTATCAAATCGGCTTCTGAGGTGAAGCTACCCATCCCTGTTGCAATCACACTGAGACAACTCCCCCACCCCATCCTGCTCCATGTGTCGCCAGTGGGACAGGTGGAGATGTTTGTGCGTGAACAAACCTGAACCCAAGGAGGGGTCAGAGAGGGGCCACCAAGGACATGAACCTACACTGTTACAAATAATCACAATATTGAATATGTTTTCAGTAATTAATACATGGACAAACCATATAAAAAAGTAAGAGATGACTGAAATGAGCCACACACCCCTTACTGGTGGAAGTCCATCCATCCATCCATTTTCTACCTTTTAATCCATTTCTGGGTCAGGGGGGTGGCAGTCAGAGATGCCACCCAAGTCTCATAGCACCAGCTATGGTGGAAGTGCAAAATTATATTTAGTCATACATCTAACATGGAATGGTCTAGATGAAAACAGGCAGTAAAGGCCGTAGTTTAAATTCCCCTAGCTAGTTTTCAGGCAAGACTCCGTCATTGAGGACTTGTCCGAGTATTTTCAAAGTGTACTGAGTTTGTGTTTGCTGTAGCTGTTGAAATAGTCCGAATGTCCTGAACTCTGGTCCATTCCTCTTCAGAGCCACTCTGAGCTGTGTTTTCTCTCTTGAACAGGAAGTTGTCCTGTTTCATTCACAAATGTGCATTTATTTTCTCATAATATCACTGGTCTTAATCAAGCAAATGTATAGCAGCAGGAAAAAAAATTTACTTCTGCAAAATACACAAGGAAAATCGTTTCTAAATTATTCTTTTTATTTATTTTTTGTGAGAGTTTTTTTCGTATACCTTGTTTTTAGTTTACTTACATGTTCTATACTTTTCCCCACAAATGTGTACTTAAAAGTTTCAATCTTCCTAATTGCCTAATTTCTATCTCATAAATGTTATTTTTTTTATGAGTTCAAATGACGTAACACTGAGTTTCCTATGTCTTTCAAGTAGCCCAATTCACTCTTTTACTTTTACATCATATTTATGGCTTTTCATAAAACAATATAGGATTTATTATAAACGCATGAGGGAGAATGGTGGTTGAATGTCAGAGAGGACACGGAGCTCCGCTGAGAGGGGCACCTGTTCACGGCGGGACCCCCCCTGCTGACTGCTCTAATCAAATTTACCCAGACAGACTGCCCCGTCCCGGGACTCCCCCAAAAACAAGTGCATGCGGAGAAGAGAGCCGTGTCCTCGTCATGTCCACCTCGTGTCGGCTTATTCTCCTCCACAGCGCCCCCAAAGGCCCACCCGCGCAGGCGCAGCACGAGCCCATAATCCGGAACGTAATGAGGAGCGCTGGAGACGGGACGGGGGCCAGCAGGCATGAGGAGAATACATGAAGAAGATATGAAAATTAGACGGGAGCCGTTGGGAATAACAGTCTTTAGAATAAGGATGCATGTTTGGCAAAACATTTATTTGTGATATTTCTAACCGACATTGCAATTGTAATGGGTGCTATATATATTATTGTTACGTTTAAAAAGTGTCTTTTTGTTCATTATTTAAAAAAAGAACACTTTCAGGCCAGTTCAATTGGAAAAAGCGACATGCAAAGCCTTTACTTCAGACACAATTCCCACACATTTCAGAACATGTTTTATAGAGTTGATACAACGTTGTACCAAGTCGTTTTATATCAGGGTTTTTTTTCTTTCCTGATGCTGACATTTAGGGCTCTTCATGGTCTGGAACCTGAAACACCATAAGATGTTCAGCCTCGTGTCTCCAGCGGGAGGCTGAGGTCCTCCACTCCGAACCTGTTGATGTTTTTAAACCTGAGGAGACCAAAGCCCTTGGAATGAACATCCCCAGTGCATGTTGTAATCTGTGGACAATTTCAATTTAACCCTTAATCATTTGGTCAATCACCTTTTGAGTCACAAAAATCTACTTTAAGCTTGGAACTGAAATCTACCTCTTTAGGGGCATCACACTTGGTTTTAGGCACTTTTATCATCAATAATAAGTGTTATTAGTGTCTTAACATTTTTGGATCTTAAAATATCCAAAAAAGGACAATAGTACCTTGCTTTCTTCAAGTGTTAGGTTTAGACAGTTTCTTTAGGCAGGCTTGTCTCCTGCCTTCCCTACAGGCCTATGTGTACTGTTTTAGATGATGCATACTTATGCACATCTCTGTTTGTTGTCACTGACCTGTATGTGTAGTTCTATTGTATGTGAAGCGCTTTGTGATACTGGTCAGTGTATAAATATCTATACATATATATATATACTATATATATATATATATAAAAATAAACTTGAATTATTTTGATCACTTACTGTCCTACTCGAGTTGTGCAACACATTATGACAGTTAATATAGATGATGAATCAGGGAAAATATTGTCTCTGCCGACAAAAAGATTAAAAATATTTGTTCCATTGACAAATCCTTTTGTTTGCAAAGAAATGTTCTCAGTGCAACCATAGAAATTGCTGTTTTGATTCTTTATGTGTTTTAACTGTTGATTCTTTGATCTGTGTTGGTGATTTCAATGGTTTTGTTGAGATGACTTCTGTTGTGATTTAGGGCTATACAAGAATAAATTGTATTGTATTGTATTGATACAATTGTAATCATTCGTTCAGCTCCACTAAACAAATATAATGTTATTAAATACTTACCATGGCTGTATGATTAATCCAAATCAAAATGGATTTTTAGTGGTCGAAATGATCACATCGCAAAGACATCGGCCATTAAAATCCTTTGCAAACTGCAAAAAATGACAAAATTTTGAATTTGATTGATTTGAGAGTATTATGAAGATTTCAAACATATTGGTAAGTGCAGTAGTAAAAGAGAATATTTTATGTTTGTTCCATTAACAATTAGACAGTGGACATGGTAAAACCATATTTCGAGAGCTGATCTGTGCCAGAAGTAACTGATGTTTTGATTTTCTAATCTGTTGTAGGCGAATCGACAACATTGTAAAGTCCTTCGAGATGACTGCTTTGTGATTTAAGGCCATTTAAAAATGCGTAAAATAGAATTGAATTGAAGTTAGCGTTTATTGAGAGAAACTCATATTATGCGTGTCATGTCATTCATGCAAGTTCCTGCCCTCAAGTCACTAGAGCTTCTACAACCTCATATTTTCATTTGCTATTCGTTTTCCTTGTCCTGCATGGGCCCCCACAGTGTTCCTGTCGCTCTTGTAACCCGCCAGGACTTTGCGCCACAGCAACAGATTGCGGCCTGGTCACGTGAGCCGCTGCCTCCGCTCTGACGCATCCCGCTCTCCATGCGTCAGCTCGCCTCATCTGCATACTCCCTTTCATTTATGAGCGTGCAAGTGTTAGTGCGCATATGTCATCGCCCTGAATTCATTAGACGTGCTAATGAGCTAACGACAGCTAACCCAAATTCAATTAATGCGGTAATGGCCTCAGACGGTTAGAATTAGCTGCCTCCTTGTTAAACGCTTCCACAGGCACACTCGCTTGCGCACACATTCGCCGGGCCCCATGAGCACTTGATTCCAGATGTAATTAACAAACTAATTAGCAGGGCTCCCAGTCTGCGCGCCTTGTCAGTCAGGAGTGATCTGAGAGGCTCAAATGGGGGTTTTAAGTGCAGGTTTTTGATCTGGATATAGAGTTCTTCAGGGCAATGTAGAGGCTGGCACCTAAGGCAAACAGATTGTGAGTGCAAAGATTTAAAAGGGTGACAGAAGGAGAAAATGAAAAAGAAGATTGAGACGAAACAGGGTTAGGGTCAATGGGGAATGATGCATAGGTCCATAAATACACTCAATAAGAACACTCATTCATTTGACTGTACATACCACAATTAATCTGAATTGCAACAAGAGAACTGTGGTCATTTCAATTCAATTGAAATCGTCAGATCAGAGAATCAAACAGTTAAGACAAAAACATTTTAGAACACATAGGTAATGGTCCATAGGGAGAGACCAATGTCCATGAATGTTGATAAATGTCTATACATGTTGGAGAATGTTGAGTGTCCTGGATCATCACCACAGTCCTTCTTGTTAGACACTAACAGTCTAACAGACCCTCTTGCATCGGAAAAACTCTAAAACCCAGTGGGAAAAAAGAGAGAAGTCATAAAAGCAACTTAGGCGTGCTCCAAATTTATTTTTGACATTTCTGTTTTGTTTTAATGTCTCCCCAAATGTCCAAATTCCTATGAATCAAGAATCCTATGACACCTGTCTAGTCCACCTCTGGGCGGCATGGTGGCAACAAGGTTCTGAGTTCAATGCCACCTCCAGGGCGTTTCTGTGTGGAGTTTGCATGTTCTCCCTGTGTCTGTGTAGGTCCTATCTAAATAAATACAAACACAACTACCCTCATCACACTGAAAATTGTTTTTAAGGCAAAGAGGTCAAATGTTCTGCAATGGCCAAGTTGATCTGTGCTGAATCTGAGCTTGATTTCACTGCTGAAGATAAAGACTGTGTGTTGTGTGCAGCAGGTGTGACGTCAATCACCAGAACCATGTGTGTCGCCTCAGCAGCCAGGAGCAGATGTCTGGAGAGAAGCTCTGTCTGCAATGCTGCTACAAATAAAACGTGAAATATCTACTATTATACTGGGCTAATTTTATAAATAATAATGTGTAGCATTGCTCCATTCATGACACCATATCTGATATTATTTAAAGGTATGGGACCTTTAAATACTATTTAGACTTTTCTCTGGTTTAAATATCATTACAGTGCTATTTGGCCCTCATACACATGCGTAGATTTTTCCCTCAAGCTTTAGTTAGAGAGCGATCTTTCTCTTTACTTCTTGGGAGGCAGGAGGGGATTGACAGGTGGAGAAATCAAACCAGCGAATGACCGTGCACACCCTTTCCCAGCGTAAATTATTTACAAAAAGGTTTTCTTACAACAAATTCTGAAACCTTCTGGGGACTGAAATGTAGCCCAAAAAAATCCTAGAAGACCCAGTTCGGCTCCATGTTGGCATTGTAGAAAGTACAGTTCTTACAGTTGACCCATCTATCAACCACACCTCAGTCAATGTTTATGCGTGCATTTCCACATTTAGACGAGGCCACACTTTTCCTGCTTGCACTGCCCAACACATCTGCTCCTGCAAACATCTGCCAGCTTTGCAGCGCTTTGAGTATGTTGGGACTATAAACAACATACTTGTGCATAGTCTGACAATAGAAATGAGGAAAGGAAACATGAAAGAGACAGGTACTTACACACTTTGAGTTATCTGCGTGCATAAGACAGAGCAGCACTTCACCTATTGTTGGAAGAAGCATCTCCATATAACACAAGAGAATGGAATTATGGGACATTAAATATGCTTTTATTTCAAAGGACAATGTTCCTGTCTCTTCGTCAGAACGTAGACTAATCTGATTATTCAAATAGATGATAATTAGCTTTGTGACAATAGAACCAAACGAAAACCTTGCACATGCATATTTATACAAGGTGTGCCGTTATTGACTGTTTGGGGAAGAGCTTGTCTTCTCATTCTGCTAATTACCAACAAATCCTTCTGTTTCCACGGTGATCCGGCTGACTAAAAACAGACGGCTTGAGGGGGACAGCTTTAAGCCAGGAGAGAACTATGTCATTTAAAATGGTTTTTGTTCTGCTTCAGATCCATGCACACTACTTCTAACTCCAACCTCATGATACTTGTCCACTTGAGGATGGACCTGTCTACAGGGGACACACAGTTACATTAAACTGGACCTGTGGTTTTACCCATACAGTCAGGGCCAATATCGGGACATTCCCTCACATCTTATTCTTTTCATTGTATGATGATAGATATTACATCAACTGAGAATTATGGGCTGGCTGTGGGAAGTTGCAATCTTTTCACACTGGCTTTGCGGTGCAAAATGTCATGGTGTGGATTTTGTTATTTTGGACTTTAGCTTTATTTTGATATCTGTTCTCTGTGCTTTGGTTTTAGTTTGACTTTGACGTCCTGTTTCCCCTGTCTTGATTGTCTGCCCCGCCCTAATGTGTTTCACCTGTGTCTCTGTCTATAATTACCCTGTGCTCCTCTCCTCTTGTTGCTGGTCCATTGTATTGTCAACTTCTGTTCTGTCCTGTTCCTGATTTTGTGTTCCTGGTTCTGTATTTTGAGTTTTGTTTTCATCTGGACATTTATTTTATTAAATCATTATTTTTTGCATTCCTGCATTTTGGGTCCTCATTCAAATCACCACGTGACACAACATTTTTTATTAGTCATAAAGAAATGTGTGTTTTAAAGTTTGACTTTGTTTACACTTACTTCAACATTGTATGTTTATGTAAGTTCTCAAATGACCTAAGTGTAATTGTATATGTCCATACGTTCGTCCCTCCCTCCTGGATCACACAGTTGATTTCACACGCTCTCTGTGGACATGTGAGGTGCTTCTCTGTGGACATGTGAGGTGCTTCTCTGTGGACATGTGAGGTACTTCTCTGTGGACATGTGAGGTACTTCTCTGTGGACATGTGAGGTGCTTCTCTGTGGACATGTGAGGTACTTCTCTGTGGACATGTGAGGTACTTCTCTGTGGACATGTGAGGTACTTTTCTGTGGACATGTGAGGCGCTTCTCTGTGGACATGTGAGGTGCTTCTCTGTGGACATGTGAGGCGCTTCTCTGTGGACATGTGAGGTACTTCTCTGTGGACATGTGAGGTACTTCTCTGTGGACATGTGAGGCGCTTCTCTGTGGACATGTGAGGTACTTCTCTGTGGACATGTGAGGCGCTTCTCTGTGGACATGTGAGGTGTTTCTCTGTGGACATGTGAGGTGCTTCTCTGTGGACATGTGAGGCGCTTCTCTGTGGACATGTGAGGCGCTTCTCTGTGGACATGTGAGGCGCTTCTCTCTGTGGACATGTGAGGTGCTTCTCTGTGGACATGTGAGGCGCTTCTCTGTGGACATGTGAGGTGCTTCTCTGTGGACATGTGAGGCGCTTCTCTGTGGACATGTGAGGCGCTTCTCTGTGGACATGTGAGGTACTTCTCTGTGGACATGTGAGGCGCTTCTCTGTGGACATGTGAGGTGTTTCTCTGTGGACATGTGAGGTGCTTCTCTGTGGACATGTGAGGCGCTTCTCTGTGGACATGTGAGGCGCTTCTCTGTGGACATGTGAGGCGCTTCTCTGTGGACATGTGAGGTGCTTCTCTGTGGACATGTGAGGCGCTTCTCTGTGGACATATGAGGTGCTTCTCTGTGGACATGTGAGGTGCGTCTGATCTTGAATTGATGGATGATGAGACTCACAACAATCAGCAGGATTAACTCTGAAGTTCAAAGCAATAGGACCTGCTTATATTCAGATACAAGTTTTACAACGTCATAAACTTACCATGCAGATGTACAATGACCATCATCTCCAAAAAAGTGTTTGAGGCAAAGAAGAAAAGAATACTATGCAATGGCCATATCATTCACATGATTTTGATTGAGCAGCCTTGCTCTTGTTGAAAAGAAAACTGAAGGAAAACTGCCCCATAAACAGAACAGAAGATCGTGCAGTATAGCAGCCTGGCAGAGCATCAGCTGGGATGAATCTTTAGCCACTATGCTTTCTCACTATAAGGGTGATTATCCTTTTTTTTCTGTGGAGCCAAATCACAAAACCCCAATAATGCGTGAAATAGGAACTTTCAAATAACCAATACGAGCGCATGGATTATGGCTCTCCCTGACAATAGCCCGACGTATTTATGATGTGTTCAAAATCTTTTCATGAGCTTGTGCTGATGTGAAGAGAACCCGAGAAGCAGTTGTATGCACAATGGCTGCATATGCTCTGATCGTCTGAATGAAGGTGTTGAATGGTGAGGCTGGCTTGGATCCCATGCATGGCTTTGTTTTCTGTAATCCACGCAAACAAAGCCATAATCCCGGAGCTGCGGACAAACTCGTGGGCACTCCTGGAAGCCCACGGGTGTTGAATGCAGAGCGGTGTGCTTCGACTCCAGCAGCAGAGGTGGAGATGTTTACAAAGGGCTTACACTTGTCCCAATCATTCCACGATGCGGATCCGGCCACAGGATTTTCTCGTATTATGAGTAAGAGTTGGAAAAGTCTTCAACAAAGACATTGGGCCTCATTCACGAATAACTTCGTAAGAAACTACTCAACTTTCTTCTCAAGTTGTCCTTAAGTAGATTTCTAAGAAGTCCCCACGTGGGATTCATCAACGCACTCGTAAGCCGCTGAATTGTTCGCAGCTGTTCTCTCAGATTGATGAATCCCATTTCCTCGTAAGTAGAGCGCGCGTGCCCGGTGCTTCATTACCATAGGTACTTAGCATAAGTAACCGCCCACTAATGCCCATATAAGGGACTGCAGGGCCGTGTGCAGACGCCAGAGGAAACAGCAACAGGCCTAAAGCAGGCTTTTGCCAGACTGAGAATAAAGTTATAAAATGTTGACTTAAAAGTCGAAATATTATGATTATAAAGTCGAACTAGCAAAATTATGAGATTAATCTAAGAATATGATGAGATTAATCTCAAAATGTTATGAGCTTAATTTAAAAATATATTTATGTATTATTTTAAAGATGAATCTCAAAATGTTTTGAGATTAATCTCAAAATATTTTGGACCCTGGGAGGAGATCCAGCGCGGACCAGCGCTGAGACCAATGCAGACCCGAGGAGAGACTGGAGTGACCAGCACACAGAAACCAGCGCGGACAGGAGAGACCGCATAGACTGGAGACACCTGACTGGAGAGACCGGTGCGCAGAGACCAGCGCGGACCGAAGAGAGACCGCATAGACCAGACTTGAGAGACCAGCGCGGACCCGTATGGATCCATGGGAGACACCAGCGCAGACCCGTATAGATCCATAGGAGAGACCAGCGCAGAGACTCAGCGCGGACCCAGTAACCTCCTGCAGCAGCAGTATATATGCCGTTGTTCTGTGGCCCGTGGATAAAGAAATGCCCCCTATAAATAGGAAGGGGTCACTAATACACGGCAAGATTTCCAATGTATTTGATAAAGCGTTGGCACATTTCATTTCAAAATGAATTAAAAAGTAGGCCAGATCTGCAGTGAAAAAGGCGGTATATAAATAAAGATTACTAATAAAGATTACTACAAATAAATAAATACATACATCGATATGACGGACATATCACTGGAATGTTGTATTTTTATTCAACTTCACCAAAGAGGACAACCCCGGCTGTGAACATGTCGGCACTGAATGCGTACGAGTGCTCCTGAGGACTCGTAGGATTTGTACTTGCCCAAGTGAAATTCTGGTTACGAGAAATATTCGTGAATGCCACTTTCTTCGTAAAAACCGCGTAAGTAGGATTTACGTACAAATCTGTTCCTAAGAACCGTTCGTGAATGAGGCCCATTGTTTTTGTAAGATGATGAATTTATCTATGAGTGTAATGGTATCTCTATACCAGTGTTTTTCAACCTTTTTTGAGCCAAGGCACACTTTTTTCACTGAAAAAATCTTGCGGCACACCTCCAGGAGAAAATGTAAAAATGTATACAGTACTAATGTAAAAATATATACTGTACATACTCTGTGTGATATATAAAGTATATCTTATCTTATCTTATAATGTATACAGTATACTCTGTAGCCTATATTCACAATATACAGTTATTCTCATCAAAATGCTTAAGTCCAGGCCTTGACATTAAGCTTTATTTAACATTTCTCGATACAATTAACAAGAGTTTGGTAATAAAGTGGCACTAACTGTGTGGAAAAAAACTAAGAAAATCCACTCTCTGCCCAAATAGTCAAATAATAACTCACACAAAGAACATGCATTGTTAGTGCATGGGAAAAATTTAGGTATCCGAGCTTTAAATTCAGGAGTTTTGGATGAGGGACACGGGAGGTCCTGAACGCGAGTCCATGGTTCTGTCCGGTCCGCATGTCTATGGTTCTGTCCGGTCCGCATGTCTGTGGTTCTGTCCACTCGACTATGGTCTGCGCTCGGTACCCAGTTCAGAAGTGCGTTCGCGATTGTACATTTCATAGTTAAACCACTACAACGCGGCCACAGCTGCCCCGGGGCAGAGCGGAGGATGTTAATCCTGTTCAGAAACGGCATAATTCATTTTCAAAAACGTCTCTATCACTTTCACTTCTCACTCGCCACAAAGCTCTTGTCTCGCTCCCTCCCACATTTGTTGGTCGCATCCAATTTTACCTTTCTCGCCACAATGCTGACCTGTTACAGCCAGTGGTCGCATCCAATTTTTCAGTTTCAAAGTACTTAGCTATCTGCTGCCATCTACTGATTTGAAAAAGTATTACATGGTTACTCCACAGTTCAAAACAAGTCACCGCTCGTCAACAGCGAATGCAGTTATTTTTAGACAAAGTAGACGAATTTCTCACGGCACACCAGACAATATCATACGACACACTAGTGTGCCGCGGCACAGTGGTTGAAAAACACTGCTCTATACAAAGTATGTAAATGGTAAATGGTATCTCTATTAAATTTGTCCCTCCCTCCTGAATCCAAAAAGTCATATTCATTCAAGCTAACTTTCAAGAGCCTCACACAGCCTCACACAGCCCCACAGACCCTCACACAGCCCCACAGACCCTCACACAGATCCTCACACAGCCTGACACAGCCTCACAGACCCTCACACAGCCTAACAGACCCTCACACAGCCTGACACAGCCTCACAGACCCTCACACAGCCTAACAGACCCTCACACAGCCTAACAGACCCTCACACAGCCTAACAGACCCTCACACAGCCTAACAGACCCTCACACAGCCTGATAGACCCTCACACAGCCCCACAGACCCTCACACAGCCTCACACAGCCTCACAGACCCTCACACAGCCTGACACAGCCTCACACAGCCCACAGACCCTCACACAGCCTCACAGACCCTCACACAGCCTGACACAGCCTCACACAGCCCCACAGACCCTCACACAGCCCCACAGACCCTCACACAGCCTGACACAGCCTCACACAGCCCCACAGACCCTCACACAGCCTGATAGACCCTCACACAGCCCCACAGACCCTCACACAGCCCCACAGACCCTCACACAGCCCCACAGACCCTCACAGACCCTCACACAGCCTCACAGACCCTGGACTTGCCCCACGCCTCTCGCTGCATATGAATGCTGTGACCACGCTGCATACACAGATCAGGACTTCTGTTCACAGCTCTGCCACATGTGCATATTTAACAGGCCAGAGACGAAAAAAATGTTTCTCCCCTCTTCGAATTAGACCAAATGGGATTCTTACGAAGACTTCCATATTCTTAAAAATATACAACCCAAATTAAAAATGGTTTATAATATACCACAACATTTACAATATTTAAATAATAATATTAGTTGTTAACGTGAAAAGCGCACAAGGTTTCTCTGAGAAAGGGCTGACGGGAGAGCTGAACTGTCTTTTCAGATCATTTCTTCTGTTCACAAGGTAAATGAGGTAAAAATATAACACGCCTCACAGATTGGGTTCACAAGATTTGGGCAACATATTTTTACTGATTACAATTGTGGCCACATTATTTCTTTTTTGCATTCAAAGCTATTTTTAAGAAGAATGTCAGTTAATCAAGTTTTTGTATCACTTTTTCATGAATTGTTTTATATTTGTACATGGCTTGAGCAGATCATTTAAGCCGTCACAGTTTTGCCCCTGGTATGGAAACCCAGTAGAACTTTCAATTCTGTGTAGCATTGTTAATGTGACACATTCTCCTCTCAACACGTAACCCTCCATCCCTTTGAGGAAACCACCTATGTCTGTAAAATCTTTAAATGTCAGTAATTTTAACTCCATAAAAAGCATGTTTGTATGTCCCCTATAACCTGGATGATTCTTAAAGTAATTGTTTCCTCATACTACAGCACATATGGAAAGACTCATGCACAATAGAGCATACTTAAGGACTTCCGATTTAAAACTTTCCTAGCTCTACTAAATATCGCTATACTACAAGGAACCTCGCAGTGAAGGACAGATTATGGTTCAATTTTATGTGTATGTGGCACTGAGAGACTGGGGCAGACATCTTACTATGGAAAAAACTTGTGGGTATAGGGAAACCTAAATTCTTCCACACATAAAAGGACACAGGTTCGGAGGACACCGAGGACAGAGACAATAACTTACAGCAAAATTGTTTATTATAATTTGAATTTGTTAAGGCTAATTAGAATAAGTCT